ATTTTTTATATAATAATTATATTATTAACATTAATATTTTATTTTTTATTAAAAAATTAATACTTTTTTTTATGTTCACAGGCAAATTTGCCTGCATTACAAATGAAAAGATATTTTGTTAAACTTGAAAATAAGCGGTCTGGCTTGATATTTTACAAATTTACTTAGACATTTATATAATAGTAAGACTATACTTTTGAGGGTTATTATATGTCCTTTTATTTTTTATGCAGGTATGCTATGTTCTATTTTTAGATCTAATAATTATATATATTTTATAATAGAATAATAATAAATAGACCAAATATCTTTTAGATGCTAATATTAAATGTTACAAGTATTCTAGACCTAGTCGAACTATTTTTATCTAAAAGGATACCAATTTTTATAAATTCTACCACAACATTCAACACTTCCTAATAAAAATAACATTAATAATACAAATAACATTTATTTATTACTTAAAATAGCTGGAATAGATAGTAATTTTAATAATAAAGTCTTTATACCTTTAATTCTTAGTTACCATATATATATAAAATTAGAAGAAATATATTTTAGATTTGACTTAGAATAGTATAATAAAGAAAATACTATTTTATATTAATGGAATAATTTTGCAAATGATTTTACTTTTACTAATTTATAATATTAGTATATAGCATATGATAATCTAACTAGTTTACAATCACATATTAAAGATATATCACATATCAAATATTTTAGAATAAGATCTGTGCCATTTTTATTAGGATTAACTTGCAAAGAAAATGTGGAATGACTTAGATGATTTGTTTTATAACATAATCCAAATTTCTTTTAATTAGAAAGAATATTATTCTATATTAAATATCAGCGTGATAATATTCTTAATTAAGTAAAATAGAAGGCTAAAAAAATTGCAAGAGGATTTATATTTTGAAGATATTGATAATAAAGGAATTATCAAAGAGGAATTACCTATAGTAATTAATAGATGGCAGGAATCAAATAAGATAGTGCAAGCTTTAGTGTTAAATTAATGGAATTATAAAAACAGATATTTGAAAAAAAAGAATTGAAAGTAACTAAATATATTTATGTTAATCATTAGAAACTATTTATAAACTAAGCTCAAATAGAGGATGAGTCCAATTTTATAAGGTTTGTTTATTTTTGTTATTTTATTTAAAATATACTAAATATTTTTAATATTTTTAGTGAAAAAATCGATAATAAATCAGAATCAAAAATTTAAAAACTTACGTAAAAAGAAAATTAGATTATACTATTCTTGTTAGTACTAGTATTTTTTTAGAATTAATTTTAAAACAACTATGTATTACTTATTATAATATAAATCCTTTAAATCACAAAACTAAGATTAAAGCTAATAGATTAGGAATTTTTGTTACTATTATTTATAAAATATATTTTGATGAATCTAAATATTATAATGAAAGATTAGGAGATGATTTTTCTAAATATTTAGCAGTTGTTAGTTTGGTTAGAGACGTTAATAGAAAAGAATTATAATATATATTAGCATTACTAAGGATTACAAAATAAAGTAGACATCAGCAATATTTTATAAGTAAGGAGAATTTTTTCAAAGTTTATATCAAGCAGCAGATACTAGTACTGAAAATGCTTTAGTAAATATATGTGAGAAGCTTCAAAATAACGGTCAAGATTTATTAGAAGTATCATTTGATTATGATTGAAGTTATATACGTGAAACTTTATAAATTAGCAGAAAATTTATTTTTAATGGAAAATTAGAAGGTTAGTTATAGCATTTATAATATATTATTAGTATATCATAATTGAAATTTTATAAATTTAATATTATTATTAAAAATATTTTATTACTTGTATTTTATTTAATATTTAAAAATATAATATCAGATTTAGGTTATAGATATTATCTAATCTTAGCTTATTATATAGTTGAAAAAAATGTGAATATACAACTAAAGATGAAAAAATTATTACTATTCAAAAAGGCAATTATAATAATAATTCGCAACAAATAGAATATGCTATATTAATTATTATAATTGAAAAAGTTTTAATAGTATTAAAAAAATATAATATTAAATTAAATGGAGACCTTTCTACAAATAGAACTTTAGCTTTATTAAATATTATTAATTTAATATTTGCAGATTTAAAATATAAAGCAAAGATTATACGATCAAAAATAGATAAATTTATTATTTTATTAATTAAATATTGATATTTAATTTATTAATTATAATTAATTAATTAATATTATTAGCATCAGATCATAATTGGAAATATCTTGAACAATCTATTATGAGTTATTATATAAGATGTGTTTATGCAACATTTACAAGAGTTAATAATTCAGATATTTCTACTCCAACTGATAATAAATTAGTATAGATGCATACTAAAGATGTGATTTGTCATTTACAAGGGAATTATACTAAATATTGACCTGAAGTTTGTTGAATTGTAAAGAATCTTGATTTGAATTTACCAACTTTCAATTTAATTAGTATTGATAATAATCAATATATATGTCTGTTAGAATTTTTAAAAAAAATAACAAAACTTAAAGAAGATCAAAGTTTAATAATAACAATACATATTAGTTATAATGAAGTATTTAATCATTTGAAATTAAATTATATAGAAAAAAAAACTGATTATTCAAAATTATTTCAGGTTCATCATGCATTTTCAGTTATTTATAATAATAATAGTTTTATAGAACTTCAAGATAAAGTTTGTGTAGCAAATAATTTGGTAGATTTTTTTGATCAGGATGAAAAGAATCTATTTAATATCTGGAAACAAAAAGAGCAAAAGAGAAAAGTTAATTTAATAGCAATTGAAGCATGTATAAAAAATGAGCTGATAAGATTATTGATCAAAAGAAATAATTAGAAAGTTTTGATTGTTCTCAGGTGATTATTTATAATTATTATATTTTAATTATATTAATTTCTAAATTCTAATTTTTAATAATTAAATTATATAGAAATTGATTTCATATAGTTTACGAATTTAAGAACTTTTCAATAATAAATTTGAACCATTTTTTGCTTTATTAGTAGCTGTATTTAATTCATCATCTCTCAAATGTATGGCTTATCAATTATTTTAAAAAAAATATGTCAATAGTTTATATGCATTATGCGGATATTTAAATGAAACATAATTTATTTAGCTATATATCAAATGTATAATATTATAAACAATCAATATCTAAATCAATTTTAGATTATAATATAATAGATAACATTATTACTGAGTTTTATAGTTTTAAAGGATATTGTATAAAGTAAAAAGAAAGTATTTTATCTTTTTTATCAGGTCAAGATATACTAACTATATTAAAATCTAGTAGAAGAAAGAGTTTAATATATGTAGTTACAAGTATATTAACACAAGAATTAACTATAGTATTTACTTCTTAAAAAGCATTAGTAGATGATCAAATGGTAAATTAATATTAAATTTTTTTTTTAATAACAAATTATAATAAATTAAAACAATTTTTTTTTTATTTAAAAGTGAGAAATGATAGAAATGAGAATATCAATAGCAATATTATATGCCTCTTTAGAATAACTACCTTTGATACAAGAAAAGATTTTTACTAGAATCGCAAGTGGATTGTGTCAGATATTATTTGTCATATTAGAAAAATATATAGAAAATTTATAATTTCAAATTATGTACAAAATGTTTATAATATTCAGAATCTTTAATTTGTTATAGATGAAGCATATTGTATGATTTCTTATAAAGAATTTCAGTAAGTAAAAATTATATAAAAACTAATTACCTGTCTGTTTATTTTTTCTATTTACTTTATATTTGAAATTATCATCACATGATTATGATAATCTTTTATTTTCTGTAGAATTAAAAAATTTTTTATAATATACTAATTTCAATAATAGAGATGCATATAAAAAACTAGAAATTTTAAAATACACTTTTCTAACAGTACCTGTTTTAGCTTTAATTGCAACATATTCACCTAATGATATAGAAATTATACAATTGATTCTAAAAAGGTCTAATATGAAAATTATTAGAACTTCAGTTATTCATCATTTAGAAATTATATTAGAAGTTAGACCTAAATCAACTTAAAAAAAAGACTTTACCAAGCTATATTTAATTTGCTAAATAACCTTAAAGGATGTGTAATTATTTATAGAACTATAATTATAGAATGTAATAATATGATGAATGAACTTCAAAAAAACTTTGATCTAACTATTATAGAAATGTATCATGAAAAACTTACAAGCAAAGAACAATCTGTTATATCTTTAAATCAGAAAAATCAAACTATTAAAATAATATCAACAACTTCAGCTTTTGGTATAGGTATAAATATAAATAATGTTACATTAATAATCTATATAACTTTACTAATGTCTTATAATTGATATATATAAGAAATTGGTCAAGCTGAAAGATCAGAATAACAATCTAAAGCAATATTATTTTATTCACAAAGTGATATTTGTACACTTTTAACAATTTTAAGTAAAGAACAGGAAAGGTAAATATTAATATTAAAATATTATAAAATATATATTATTTATTAATCTATTAATTATTAACCTATTCTATAAGTTTTTCCAATTTTACAGATTTATAATATTTATCTAACCAAATATTATAATGGATAAAAAGAAAGAAAAAGTTATGGAAATGGTATTATTTGCAGATACAGTATATAAATATTATCAACAGCTAGCATATCAATCATTTCTTTGACTAGATGATCCTATAATTTCAGAATGCTAAAACTGTAATAATTGTAAAGAATGGAAAAAGATAATTCAGATATTTGTGATGTAATAACAGAAGCATTACAACTTGTTAGAATTATCAGTGCATTATTGCAACATGTAATAATTTCAAATAATAACATATATTATATAACTCATAATGATATCGTAGATGTATTTTATAGAAACAAAAATAATAATGTAACTAGAAAACCCTAATGCAAGTATTAGAATATTTCTTAAATCACTTTCAAATAAGATTACATCTAAAAAAATATCTTTATTTATTAGACTTTTTAATTGATAAAAAATTATTATTTAAGTTATTAATCTTCGAAGAGTCCATTTTGAATCATCAGTATTGATTTATAGTTGTAAAAATTATAAGAATTTGTGAAAATGCAAAAAATATTATTTTGTCAAAAATTTGACAATTATTTTTGAAATAAAATATAGCATTATATGATTATGTGATTGGCTAATAATCTGTTATACTAATTTTATACTATTTTTATAATATTACACATGTCGATTACTAAGTCAATAATTAATCATATGCAAAAGACCTTACTCTTAAAAATGTATAAATTTTGTCTTGTAAATCTAACTTGATTATTTTTTTTTATCTTTACTTTATTAGAAACGAGATCAAAATTGAAAAAAACTATTATTTACTATTTTTAGTTTATTATATTTATTAATATAAAAGAATTTTTCTTTAAAATTAATAATGAAAATAAATATAAAATTTTATTTCAAAATAATAAATTATATGTAATGTATTAGAATGGTAATTTTTTAAATTGCAATTTTAATTTTAATAAATTTTTTATAGTAGTAATATGATATGATTTAAAAAAATAATCCTTTAATTGATTTCATTATCTTTATTTATTTTAAAACTTTTAATAAATTTATCAACTAAAGAAAATTCTGAGTTAAAGTTGAATAATTTAATTATACTTTTATTAGTTTTATTTTTTAATTTTATTTTTTATATAAATTTGAAAATTATATAATTGAATTAGAATATGATATTGAAAATTTTAATAATTTAGAAAATATCAATATATTTGATAATAATAAAATTGTTATTCATTTAAATATAAAATAGATGATTGTATAAATATACAATCTAATTTATCAATGAAAATACAATTAAAGTGAAAAATTTTGAAGAATATATTAAACAAGTAGAATATTTGGTAAATATTTTAAACATATAAACTTATTAAATATTAAATATATTCTAAAACAAAAAAATTTAAAATATACATTTATTTTTTCAAATAATTTACAAACACTTTAATCAAGATGAATAATACAGTTCTAATAATTATATGTAATAAAAAGATATAAGTCAATAATAGATTTCTGAAAGAACTTGCATGCGAATAATTTAAAATCTCAGAGTAGTTATTTACACTGTTGATTAAATTCATCTTCAAGTATTGTAAAGTATTGAATCAACCCATTTTAGAGAGTATTAACTGAGCTAAACTCATTATAGCAGGCTTCTTCAAAAGTATTAAGCCTTTTAGTTGCATTATTGATCTTTAATAAAATTTATTAGCCTCTGTTGCCAAAGTCAGTATTAATACTATTAAGCTCTACAGTAAAAGAATTAGATCGTTAGTAGAATTCTGGATGAGTCAAGTTAACTCACAAGTCAAATAAGCTGAGTCAAGTTTAAATCAAGTTGAGTTTATGTTTTTTTTAACTTGATGATTTGTGAGTCAAGCCAAATTCAAGTTGAGTTTATGTTTCTTTAACTCAATGATTTATGAGTTAAGCCAAATTCAAGTTGAGTTAAATATTTAACTCAACTCGATTTAAACTTGACTTGATTCGAATTGACTTGAGTTGACTTGAGTTGACTTGAACGAATTTTTTTATCGTTCAAGAATGATGACAAATCATTTAACTTAAATAATTTTTTTATCGTTCAAGAAGAACAATGATGAATCGTTCAACTTGAATAATTTTTTTTATCATTCAAGATGAACAATGACTCGAATCATTCAACTTGAACGATAAAAATATTGTTCAAAAAGAAAGATAACTAATTGTTTGTTCTCCTCCCCTTCCCAATCTTTCATTTTTTTTTATTATTTTTTTTTAAAATTGAATCGAGTTAAAATCGAGTCGAGTTAGATTAAATCAAATTTAAAATTTATATAACTTGAATCAAATCAAATTGAAAGATTTTATAAAATAAATTTGACTTGACTCAACTCAAAAAAAGAGAGTCAAATAGAGTTGATCTTTAAACTCGACTTGACTCGACTTATTCAGAACTTTAATTGTTAGTTATTTATTATACAAGAACAACAATTTCCAAAAAAATTTCGGGATAATATTACTGGAACAGCAAGAAAAAGATGCGGAAAGAGCCAAAAGTAGCATATTTTCCAATTTGATTATACAGTGTAATTTATGTGAAGTGGATTATTATACTTATCAAATACAGTTATTTGAGTTATTTGTGTAAAAATATCAGAAAATAAGGTTATTTTACTATTAAAACTTAATCCACCTTTTTTCTTATTTTATTTAAAAAAGTTAACAGTGATTAGTTATGGAAATTATAAAAATATATATATATAAAAATAGGTTTGATTAGTCTTGAAATCTTTGATTATTGCTTCTTATTTCATTAAAATTTCAAATCAATATCAGATTTCTTATTATTCACTTAAAAAATAGAATAAAGAATTTATGAAATGAAGTACTAATACTAGTAGATCAGGGGTTTTGTCAGAACTTTTGATACTAGAACTTTTGAGCGGAAACTAGTATAAAATGCTGAATTAGTGCAAATAATCTGTGAGGATTCAATATAAGCAAGTTTAAAAATCTTCAGAAACAAGAATTTTATTTTAAAAATTAGGTGATACATGACAGCAAATGTTACGCTAATGATAATTTACATGTCAATCAAAATTTTCTTTATGAAAAGGTAATATGCCTTTTTTGATTTTGTGCATTTATATAGCTAGAAACGAATAGCATCTTGATTTTATTCTTTTAGAATCTATCCAAACATTAATTCATATATCTTATTATTATATAACTGGTTATATTCTTATTCGATCGATGTAAATTGGTTATTCTCAAAAAGGTAAGTTTTGATTAGCAATTATATGAGATTAAGTATATAATGAATAATACTAACTTACCTTATAATATATCTAAAATCAATATTATCATTTGATTCACCAAAGTAAACGCTGCATGATCTTAGAATATAAATTTTTAATTATTACTGATTAAATTTTTATTATACAATATTTATATAATGATTTTATCATCAATTATGAATAGCATTTTAAAATCTCATTTAATGTAAATATTATCTTATAATAGATCAGAAAAGGTAAATAAATCTAATATTGTTCTAGAATGGATGATTTGTATATAATGGCCTTGATTAGGCTATTTTTTGTAAGGTAATATTTGATTTTTTTTTGCTTATATTGCATGAAGCGAATAAAAGGAATAACAGGTAGAACTTACCTTCCTTTATAACAAAAAAAGAAAGAACTCTTTATGATCTTAAAATCGACAAATAAATCATATTTTGAAGATTTTTTTCTTATATACTAGGTTATAATGCAAATAATTAGGTTTCAGATCAAGTAGATGAATTATCTCATGAAGATTTTTTTCTACTTCATGTTACATTTGTCACAAACTCTATGATGATCAAAGAGAGCTGAAAAAATAGATCAGTATCATAATGATGTCTGATTCTGCTCTAATTTTATAATTCTAGCTAAGAGTCTAGCCTCAAACACTTCAACTTTAAACTTGAGTCTAGCATTCTTAACACTATGCCTAATATTCTCAGCAATATTAATAGTTCTATCCTTTTTTAACTTATCAATTCTACTTTGAAGCTCAGCTCTTAGCTTTACATTCTTACTCTTAGTCTTATTATACTTAGTATTAACTCAGCAATCTCACCTATAGCCTTATCATATTTGATCTTAACTTCAACATTTTCAATTTAAATCTGATGATTTTGGCTATAAATCTAAAATTTCCTTAGTCTGCATACTCACTAATATTTTTGATATACTATGTTAGTATTTAAAATCAGTAAAAATATGTAGGTTATGAAGTTATTTTGTGAATTAAGTTTATGAAGTTTTCTAAGAAAATCAAATTTTCTAAAATTTTTAAGGTTTATTTTTTATTAATACAATGATAGCTGATGTAATACATAAAAAATAAATGCAAATCAGAATCTAAGTTTATAATAATGACAAGGTGTCTATGTTAAGGCCTATATATTCCTAATTTTTAATTCGAATTTTTGTAAGATTGCTTAATAAATTTATTCTTTTTATTTTTTTCAATTTCTTCCTACTTTATGAAACTTTTGACATACACTTCTATGTCTCCTTTAACAACTAAACAATATGGCTGAAAACTTTTAAATATTCCATAAAATAGAATTTTCTATATTAGTAATTATCTCAAGAACTCTTCTAACATCTGATCCTCTTTCACTTTATTAGTATTATGCTTACAATTCAATAAAAATAACTCGTAAATCATCTTATTAACCTCTGTAACTTATTTACAAAATTAAGAGGACTGTGTTCATTTAGACCTAAAACATTTTTTAAGACGATCCTAAACTTTCCCTTGAAATTGTTCACTTTAGTAAGTAGGTATAAATAGATGTATTGATTTTATAACTTTGATTAATAGTAAATTGATAGGGGTGTTGTTAAGATAGGATTTTAACTGTTATTAGATTTTTAAATGATTCTTGCATTATAAAATTCTAGATCAAAGCGTGAATAATATCACACTTTACTCACCTATCACTAAATATCAGACTATCTGATGTTGAGATTCTTCTAATTGAGCATCTCTTTACAAAAGAGTATATCATAAATCAGGTCTTATGCTAAAATTCTTCTATGATATGAAGAAAGTTATAGAATATGGTTAAAATGTATTTATTACATATGAATTTTAAACTAGTTATGACTAACTCATAATGCTTCATCTAGAATAAAATATCATTCATATAATGTTTGAAGTACTTATTGATGTTTTGAATTTCATAGATTTGTAGGAATGGTTTCTGTACCATTAGAGTCAATATCATATTTTACCAACATTTCTTTCAAATAGCAATACAAAAAGAACGAGCACTCCTTTTTTTTTTGCATTCTTTAGTGAAGTCTTATAAGATTTATTGCAGGATCATCTGATATTCTATAACTTTGAAGTTTTTCTTTAGTTATCTTAAAAAAGACATAGTTATCACAGTATTAATCCTTTCTTTTCTAAAGTTTTGATAGCTATTTCACTAATTTCTGAGTTCTCTTCCTTATGTAAGAAATTAATATATTCATTTATTTTATATTTTTGAACTACTTCAGCTTAGTAGAAGTAGAAGCGTGTGTATCTATTTCAAATATGATACAATAATAGGATTGATAAATAAAATAAAAATATATTACATTCCAGTGTGAGTAAAAAAAAATACAAGTCACAGATTTGTGATATTTATAATTTAATCAGTTAACATGTCAGATCAGATTTATTTGATCAGATTTGATTTAAAAAGAAATTTATTTTATTAAATAATATTAAAATAATTAAAAAAAATAATAATTGAAAAAAAGAAAAATAATTAAAATTAAAAAATGAAAAAATGAAAAAATTTAAAAAAAAATAAAAAGATTGGAAGGAGAAAAGAAGAATAAAAAAAAAAAAAAAAGATTAGAGAGACAAGAAAAGAAAAATACAGAAAAAAATGAAATAAATAATTAAAAAATAATCAAAAAAAAATAAAAAAAAATAATTAAAAATAAAAAAATAAAAAAATTAAAAAATAATAAAAATTGAAAGGGAGGGAAAAAAAGAAAATAATTAAAAATAAAAAATTAAAAGATTAAGAAGGAAAGAATATAAAAAAATAAAATAAGTAATTAAAAAAATAAAAAATTAAAAAATAAAAATAAATTAAAAAGTATAATTGACTATTTTCTTAAATGTTGTAAATTACTGATTTAAATAAAGAAAAACCTTTTTTAAGATTAGGTAACTATCTGAAAATTAAACTGAATTAAAAAAAAAAATAATTAAAATAATTTTATTTATTATCTATAATCTAAATTTTATTAAATCAGATCAGGTCATATAATAAGCCTAACATGATATTAATCTAAAAATCTAATGATCTAATCTGAATTTTCAGATCAGATCAGATCAGTAAACAGGTTGATCTGACCTGATTTAGAGTTTTATTATATATTAGAAAAAATAAAGTATATGTATTTAAAGAAGATAAATTTAAAAAGAATTGATTATAATATTAAATTTTTATTTAATTTTAATAAAATTTAATAATTATTATTAATTTAATATTTTAATTTAAATTTTTTTTTTAATAAATTATAATAAATTATATTCTCATAATTATTATAATATAATATAAATTGAGCAATTAATAATTTAGATTTTTTTGAATTATTTAATAAAATATTTTGTTTTATGAATTTTTATGTTTCTTTTAATATTTTAAAAATATAAAGGATTGAATTTAAGTTTTTGAATAATAAAAATATTATTATTTTAAAGTTTATAAATTTATTTATATATTTATTTAATAAATTATAAATATTTATTTATAATTTAACAATAATTTTAATTCTTAATTTAATATTAAAGAATCATAGTATTTAGTTAAATAAAAATAATTTATTATAAACTAAATTTTTGAAATTATAATTATATTAACTAATAAAATTAAAAAAATAATTTAATTATACAATTAATTTCTTTTAAAATAATTGATAAATTAATATTTTAAGAATATTAAGTTTTAATAATATTATTTAAAATATTATTTATTTTTATTTTGATTATTAAAGATATAAAGCTAACTTTTTATATAATCATTTCTCCTTTATAAGTAAATTTTTATCAAGTTAATATTAAAATAATAAACTTATTAAAAAATTCTCTTCTATAATCACATTATATAACTTTTTATAATCACAATTTTGATTCTATATAACTATATAGAAGGTCAAATTGTATTAATATATAAAAATTTATTACTTTTAATAATATTATTTATAAAAATTAAAAGATTTACTAAAATTAGTTTATTAATTTAAACTTATTAAAATCAATTTAATTAACTAATTTTTTTGGAATTTAGAATGTAATTCTTTTTTTTAATTAATTATAATTTTATTTTTACTAATCTAAAAATAAAAATAAAAATATAAATATTTTGATAAAATATTATTTAATTTTAATAAATTGGTTTTATTCTAATATAAATAATAATTTCTATTGATTTATACAATTTTGCTTTTATTACTAAATATTAGAAAAGTCAATAACTAATTGCAAAAGGATGTTTATATAATTTTATAACAATTTTTGTTTATTTTAAGAAATTTGTAAAAATTTTCTCACAATTTGGCTGGCTAAAATGTTAATTCAAATATTTAATACTTTATTAAAAAAAAGAAAAAAAAAAATGATTTATAAACTAGGTATATATCTTTTATAATTTAATTTACATTTATTAATAAGTGTGATAAAGGTCTTATCCAAGATGTACATATGTATGGCTTTGAATAAATAAATATCTTAAACTGTAAAACTTTAAAAAATGTTTAACATATTCATTACAATGTGATAATAATATTATAGTTAAGACTTCTAAGATCATTCCTAGTTAGTTTTTTTAATAAAAATAAGTTTTTTATTACATTCAAATAAACTTTCATTTAGTTTATAGTATTTTAAAATTAAATAAGCTTTTTTTTAGACTATAAATAAATTTACACCTTTTAGTTTTATAAATTATTCATTTTTCTCTTTTTTTTCTAAAAGTAAACTTGTTTATTTTAAAGAATATTACAAAAATACTATAAGATAATATAAAGTTTTTACTAAAAATTGGGTAACATTATTAGAAAAATTTCACAAAAAAAATAGGTTTTATTAGAAAAATTGATAAAATCATAACAGAAACTGAGATAGATCTAACAATTATCAGAATATATTGTTACAAAAAATAACAAAATGGCCAAGAATATTCAGCAAATTCTGTTTAAGCAGCTATTGCAGTAATTAGGTAATACTTAATTAATAATTCTGCTATTAAAGGTGTAGATATTCAACAAGAATCTCTTTTTCTAAATTTATGAAAAGTTTTTAATGGAATAATCAAGTATTTTTATGATCTTGGCTTAAATAAACCTAAAGGATCTGATGTTCGAACTGTTAATGAAATTATTCAAATTTTTAATCACCAAAAGATAAATATTAATACTTTGAGAAGATTATTATATTAGATTTTTTTTATAATGCAATTCTTATTGGGTTATGTGATAGTAAACATTTAAGCTTAATGATAGATTACCTTAAAAAAGGTCTAGTAGAGGTTTTGATATTTGGATTTTTAGATCAAAAGCTAATTAAAGAGTTAATACTAATCATCATAAAAAAGGAAAAAAGTTAATTCTTTCTAATAATTTAATATTAATAAATGATTATGATAGGTATATTAGTTTATGACCTATTAATGCTAAACTTAATCTTTATTTCCAAGAAGTTGAAGAAGAAACAGGTAAATTAAAGCTATATTAATTTTATAAAAGTTGTTTATTCTGTTTAACTTTTTATTATATAGCTTTTCAAACTGGAAACTGTTTTAAATATTATCATATTGGTGAAGTACAATTAAAGAAATTGATAAAAGAAATTTGTGTTATAACAGAGATTAATCTTGATAATAGGAAGATTACAAATCATACAGGCAGAAAAATTATGGTTCAAGCATTACAGCATCATGGTCAAAATACAGATTACATTAGATATCAATTTGTCATAAATCTGACTAAGGACTTCAACCTTATATTCTTTCTCATGATCAGCAGCAACTAGATATGATGATTTTATTAACAAGTGAAATTTACAAAAAAAAACATGTAAATTCTTCAAATTTTTTCTATTTTTAATGTTAACCAATTATTTAATATTAAAATTATTCAAATATAGCAACTGATAATATTTCTCCAATAAACTCAATGAATATAAATAAAGTACAAGTAAATGGAACATTTATAACTGCAAAAGAAGGTATTATTTTGTTACTTAACAAATAATTATATAAAACATTTTCTTAGTAAACATTATTTTCTTTCAGTATTTAAGCAATCCAACTGTCAAAATATTATGTCTATAGAAGCTAATACTTCTCAAATACCTTTAAAATCTAAATATCAAGTTGAAATTGAAATAAAACCCGCACAATTACAGGAATTATTAGAATCGGGAGTATTGGAAAATATTAATTTGCATATAAAATTATCATAAAATGTGTAATACTATATAAAGTTAGATAGAAGTAGTATATTTAAAATTAATTGGTTTGTTATTGTATAATCATATTTTATATAGAATAATTATAATAAATATTGATGCAATAAAATTGGCATGATCCTATCTGGCTGAACTATAATATACCATATTTACTCGCTACAATTTATAATGATAATTTAACTATTTAACATTTTCAAGAATAGCCTCATTATCATGATAGTAATATTTTAATTCTTTTTTATACAACTTTTTAATATCTGCAATATTTTCATCTTTATGAACATGGTTTTCATCATCCAATTTGTTTAGACGATATTGTGCAACATGGCTATAATATCCGCGATTTTGCTTGGCAGCCTCATAATAAAATTTAACAGCCTCTTTATAATTTCCTTCATTTTCATAAAATTTACCAAGTAATGTTTGACCCACAGCTAACCCGCCATTTGCTGCTTCTTTCAACATTGTAATTCCCTTCATCATCTTATCTTCATCAACATCT